GGACTGTAGAACAGGGTGGTGATGGCATAGTGTGAGCAAAGGCTGAAAAGTAGAACCAGTGTCAGCAATAGGCGCTAAGTCACTTCTTCCGCCCAACATGGCTACCATTTCTGTTGAGATATTCTTGGTCTCCTGCCTGGGGAGCAGCTGGCAATGAGGGAGCCAGGGCCTTGGACTGGTGGGAAGGCTGGGGCTCTAGGCCTTGAAGGGGAGGGGGCTGCAGCTGCCTCCACTGGATTCTGGACAGTAAATAATGTGACTGGGAGGGATCAGTCAGGAGGGCACAGAATTGATGATGGGGGTGAGGCCTTTGGGGTAGCCCTGGTCTCTACCTTAGTGTCCCTGAGAGTCGGGGTAGTTTAGGGTGGAGCCCTAGGGGGAAGGGAAGAGGGACTCAAAGAGGAAGTGGGGGGAGGGAGGTAGAGGAGGCCAGTCTGGCGCCATGCTGAGTCACCTCCCACAAGGCCCAGGGCGGGCCCTCTGGGGGCCATGGGCAGGGTGGAGGGGTCTTGGGAAACCGCTGGGAGGGCTGGGGGGCTCTTGAAGCAGAAGGCAGAAGGAGGAGCGGGTGGCCTGAGAAATACACACGGACGGACAGACAGACAGTGCAGTCACCCATAAAGTAGAAAGCACTACTAACAGCACTGGAGGGTGTAGTGTTTCCTACTTTATGGATGAGTGTACTGTGGGCTTCGGAGACCACGCCATGCCATCGCCACCCGCCACCCGCCACCGTCTTCCTCTCCCTCAGGATCTTGTGAGACAGGTGAGCATCTCACACACCCCCACCCTGCCCAGCTCCCTGAAAGGTCGCCTTTGCTCCCCTCAGTGCTACCCTTCCTGTCCCAGACGACTGGGGAAATATCACCGTGGCTCTTCTGCACTGAAATCTGGGAGGATGCAGGGAGGGCTGGACAAGTGAGCCCTGTACAGCAGGTGGATGGGGCAGAGGTGGGAAGGGAGGGCAGATGGGGGGAGTGGGTGGAGGCACTAGGGGTCCCAATACCAAATAAAGAATGGACTGTGTTTCTCTTTTGTTTGAGACTCTTTTGCTGGGACAGGGCATTGGTGGGGGAGGCAAGTCGGGAGTAGTGAGCATCCGGGCACACAGAGGGCTGGTTGGGCAATCCTTCCTACTCATTCACCCAAGAGAGAAAAAGGGTTGGTCTTGCGGATGACAAGATCAGAAGAGGATTCTGAGCCTGGCCAGGTGGCAGTCATGGGAATAAAGGCCCTGGGCTGCTGGCAAGGACCTCTTGGTAATATGAAGAAAGGGGCAGAATATGGAAGGGGGGTGGCATGAGAGGTCCTCCCACCTTTGGCCCTGCTCATCCTCCTTGCACTCTCTACAACCCCACTTGGACTACACTTTTTAGTCCAAGAAAGTCTAGGGGGTCCTTGGTAATATAAGAATTGGGCAAAACCATTATGGCATTTTGTGTGCATGACAGCATCTTGCATGTAGACAAAGGGCACAGGTACTAAATACAAAGCACATATGCATGAGCATTTGCACACAGCCCCATACATGTAGCCAGAAACATATAGTAACAGATAGACACATGTGACATGGCTGGCATATCACACAATGGCGCACAGACATATACTTACCCAGGGTACATACATATTCACTAGTATATACATGTGCAATGATATAAACATATGATATGTGTCGCACAGCAAAGCATAAAATGTACATATACGAACAGTCACATAAACACAGTGGCTCCATTCACATACAGTGACATTTTGTACATGATAAAATAGATGCATGGTCTTATATATACATGGTTTCATACATATATATAAATAAGTAAGTAAATAAATAAATAAATACAAGTATATATCTATAAAACTGTCAAATCCATGGATTCAACCAATCTTAGATCAATATATATATATATATTTTTTTTGGTGGTACTGAGATTTGAACTCAGAGCCTTACACTTACTAGGCAGGTGCTCTACCACTTGAGCCACTCCACCAGCCCTTTTTTGTGTTGGGTATTTTCAAGATAGGGTCTCATGAACTATTTGCCCAGGCTGGCCTCAAATTTCAATCCTCCTGATCTCTGCCTCTAGAGTAGTTAGTATTATAGGCATGAGCCACCAGCACCTGGCTGAAAATATTTTTTTAAAAATTGAAATCTGTACTTTTATTACTTAAATGATATAGTGCAACAAGTATTTACTTGTATTTATAGAGTATTAGATATTATAAGTGATCTAGAGATGACTGAAACTGTACAGAAGAGGTCTGGGGACATGGCTCAAGTTGTAGAGTGCCTGCCAAGCAAGTGGGACACACTAAGTTCAAACTCCGGTACCAAAAACAAAAACAAAAACCCCAACGTTATCAGGAGGGCTAGGGATGTAGTCTAGTGGCAGAGTGCTTGCAAGAGACCCAGGGCTCAATCCTCAGCACTGCCAAGAAAAAAAAGTACATGAAGGAGAACGTGTGTAGGTTATATGCAAATACTGTACCATTTTGCATAACAGACTTGAGTGTCTGTGAATTTTGTAGGGAGTCTTGAGGGGGCTCTGGAACCAATTTCCCTTAAATACCAGGGGATGACTGTATATATAAATATTACCATATTATTGAACAAACATGTCACCATATGTCATTACACATATTTACATGATTGTTAGTGTGTCATATGTTATTAATACATATGTGGCATCTATATACCTATTTCATGACACAGGTGTTGTAATTAATTTTTTGGGGGGGACTGGTTTTTGAACTCAGGCTATCACACTTGTTAGGCAGGAGCGCTTACAGCTGGAGCCACTCCATCAGCCCTATTTGCTCTGGGCTGGCTTCAAACCACAATCCTCCTAATCTATGCCTTCTGAGTAGCTGGGTTGATAGGTGTGAGCTATCAATGCCCAGCACAGGCATTGTAATTTATAAACTCACAATAATAACTTCACATACATATAACTGCATACAAATACACACTGGCAAACAGACATATGCGATGGTACACATAGAAGCATGCATACGTATATACCAAATGAGATTCAGAGACACACAACAGCACAAATATATACATATACACAGTGCTCTTCCCCACACGTACGCAGAAATAAGTAGATGTCTGTTTTTATATGCATACTATACATCTGCCTGCACGTAATAGTCTGCATATATATCCTGACCTAACCTAACATGCGGTGGCCTGCATACTGATCCACACACTGCTTTAGGGAAGTGAAGATGTCATCTGCTTCTCATGCACTCCCTCCGGGTGGTTGGACCAGCTCTGGCCTGGGTGGAGCCCACAGTCAGGGGCTCTGTGATTTAGTGCTATCCTTGCTATTCCACAGAGGTGCCACATGAGGGCCCCTGACCTTGGCGGAGACTGGCTTGTCTTTTGAATCCAGGTTTAGAGGGAAGAGAGGCTGCATCTCTCAGTTGGTCTCTCTGATAGTCTCCAGGGACGCCATCTAGGACCCTGTCCCCACATACAGGCTGACACCTGGGTAGGGGAGTCCCACATCTTTTTTCCAAAAGCCTTTTTTTTCACAGCAAAGGAACCTAAGGCTAGACAGAAAATGAACTTTCTGACAATTCAGGACAAACCCAGCCCAACGAATCAGAATCATGTGGTCTTCCCTGCTGGCCTGGGACAACCAGGCAAATGTGATTTGCCAGAAGGAAACAGAAGCAATTTTCTCAACTGATTTCTACCTCTGTCTCTTCGCTTCTATCTTTTAATTCCCATGCTCTTATTTCTCTTTGTTTCACCTCAAATTCCATTTTTTCTAGTCCTGCCCTTCTCTGTGGCTGAATCTCTGTCATACCCTCCGCTGTCTCTATCTCCACCAATGTGGGGAGAACTGTCTCCAGCCCCCTTGCTTCTGTACCCTGGAAGGTGTGAGAGTGAGTGGTGACTTGGAGAGGGAGGAGGCTACACATGGGGGCTACTGAGCTGGCATCCTGTAAGGAACCTGCTCTTGCTCCGTCCCGACCCTGCCAGCCGGTCCAACCCACCAGTCCAGCGCCATCACCATGGAAACAGGCAGCCGACTTCCTATTGGTGGGCGGGAGGGGAGGAGGATGAGGGGGAGGGGAGGGTTGGCTCTCTTTTTGCTCCCCCCCACCCCGCCACCCCCAATTCTGAGGCTCAGCCCTCCTCCACGCCCACCATCTCATCTCGGGACTCCTGGACTGTAAGGGATCCCTGCAGTCTGAGCTAAGGCTAGCAGGGACAGAGACTATGAGGCAAGCAGCCCATCGACCCAGGCCTCCTTAGGACCAACCCCGCCACCCAGCAAGCCAGTGAGCGACAGCGGAGAGAGATCCGGAGATAAAGGACTACAGCGGATCATTGGGGATCACCCCCAGCAGCTCCTGAGGACCCTAGCCAGGCTGAGGGGCACGATGGATGGCCAGACTCACAGATGCTGACAGACATACACCAACACCGATGAATGCAGCTGCACAACACTGACATACTCAGATACAACCAGCGACAGCATCACATTCTGTCACAGCCCTGCAATACAGACACCCCCACACAGAGAAACAACTGCTAACTCCAAAACAGGCACAGACAGTGACACATAGCACCACCCTCTTCAACACATACACAAGCCGGAGCACCTGTCCTGCACACACACACAAAACAGCGCTGACCTGCAGGGACAGACCTGGAGACACACACACACACACACCCAGGCACTGCTGTTGGTGGCCTCTTGCACATTCTCCCCACCCCCACGGGGACACCCTTGCCTTTCCACGTACTCACGCGCACACATACAATCACAAGCACACACAGCTCACATAGTCCCAGCTCCAGCTCCAGCAGCCCGGAATTCTTCTGCAGCCTTCTTTGTGGGTGGGGAAGATTTTAGCCAACCTTGGATGGAGCCTCAGTGAAACCAAGAGCTCAGAGGGGAAAGGGTCTGGCCTGGCATGATCCTTGCCAGTGCCCCCTCTTGCTTGGGTGATGTCCCCCGGCCTGGGTTCTGGTGCCCCTTGGCAGTACCATGGAGCAACTGACAACCCTCCTACGGCCTGGCAACCCTGGAGCCATGGAGCCATGGACACTGCCTGCTTGGCAGAACTGGACTCTGGGCCATGGGGGTGAACCTGGAGACGCAGCCCCAAACATTGCTGATACTCCTCCAACAGCTGTGCAGGTTAGAGAACTGAGGCCTGAGGAGAATTCTGGGCATGAGAAAACCCAGAGCCCCACTGACCCTGAAGGAGCAGAGGTTGTGCTACCCAGCCTGGGACGGCAAGCAGTGAGCTCTGGACACAGCTGCCCAAGACTGGAGGATGAGGAAGTGGAAGTTTTGCCAGAGGTAAGGGAGCTGGGGAGTGCTGGGGTCTTTGAGGTGGGCCACGTAAGACATTCAACCCCACTGCCCACCTCTCCTCTTAGCCTGTCTGTGTCTGTGGGTTTGTCTCTGTGACTATCTTCTGTCCTCCCTTCACTGGACAGGAATCTCAGTGGCTTCATCGTCCCCCCGCCCCATTTGTCTGTCCTTTCTGCCTGTCTGTCTATATCTGGTCCTGCCCCTCTGGGTCTCTCTCCGGCAGTCTGTCTGTGTCTTCTCCTCCATGAGTCTGTCCTTGGGGGCTGGGGGATGTTGGGGTTGTGGAGCTATGAGGTAGAGTTAGAGTTCAGAGGAAGCAGGGCTCAGTGCTGGACTAAGGCAGGGAGGGCAAGAGCTGGGTGGATGTGAGCAGCCTCCTATAGATGATGGAAGGAGCAGGACTTTGGTGAGTGGGTGGGGAGACTGGGGATTGGAGTCTGGAGGAGTGGAAATGGGAACTTGAGTTGGCATTGCTCTGGAGAAGCAGATTGGCAGGGTGGGAAAGAACAGGGAATAGTGGGAAGGCCCCAGGCTTGGGGGGTGGTTACTGAGTATGGGAAGGATGGGCCTTCCTCTAAGCTCCTGTGTCCCCCTCTGGAGACTTGGGACATGGAGAAAACCTTCTCATAGCTATGTCTCCTTGGACTGTGGCAAGGAAACGCTCCCACATGTGGGCTCTACTGGATTGGGTGGGTCCCTGAGGTACTGTACCCTGTTCTTCCCAGTGCCAGGACAAGCTGAACATGGGCTTCAGGGACAGGCCCAATCTGGAGCTGCTGAGGGCCCTGGGGGAGCTGCAGCAGCGCTGTGCCATCCTTAAGGAGGAAAACCAGATGCTGGTGAGGCTTGGAGAGTGGGGTCCTGGTTCTGGCTGGAGCCAGGCCCTCTGCCTCAGTGCCCTCCTCACCCCATGAACATCTCTCCAAAACGGGGCCACATGGAGGTGACATAATCCCAAGACCCAGGGAGAGTGAACCCTTTCCTAGAGATACCAAGGACTCCTGGGCCCTAGCCGATGGTCTGGGCAATGGGATTGGGTCTATGGGGTGCTTTCTACATGCTCCAATTCTGGCTGACCCCTTGTCAGAGAAAGAGCAGCTTCCCTGAGACGGAGGAGAAGGTGCGGAGGCTGAAGCGGAAGAATGCCGAGCTGGCAGTCATTGCCAAGCGCTTAGAGGAGAGGGCCCAGAAGCTTCAGGAAACGAACCTGAGAGTGGTGAGAATAGGAGGCTGCTGGTGGAGGCTTGGGTAACCAGGAAAGGAGGGTATTCAGGGTTGGATCTCAGAGGTTGGGCTTGGGAGTCATAGACTCTTAGCACCCCAGAAAGCAGGAATCTAGGGGTGGAGGGTAGGAAGGGTAAACAGCTGGCCTGGCAAGGATGCTGAAGGTTTCTGGAGCTGCAAGATGGGCTCCAGTGGAAAGGCTGGGTGGGGAGATTCCTGAGCAGGCAGGGAACAGAATTCTGGATTACCATGTGCTAGTGCTGGCTGCAGCCTCCTGCTGAGCTTTATGTTAGGGTGTAGAGCTGGGGTGGAGGCAGGGAGAAGACCCATCACAGTGGCAGCCCTGAATTAGCAGCATCCTTTGAACCTAAACTAAGATGAGTGGAGTTAACCATTTCCGTCTTGGCTTGGAGACTGCTGGGATGGGATTGAATGAGGCTGCAGTTCCTCTGAGACCCCAGACTGGGTACCATCCTAACTCCTCCTTTGGGGAGGCGCTGAGGGTGGGAAAAGTGACCAAGCTCTGAAAAGGCCTATTCCTTTTCTGGCTAGGTGAGTGCCCCCATACCCCGACCCGGGGCCAGCTTGGAGTTGTGCCGGAAGGCCTTAGCCCGCCAGCGAGCCCGGGACCTCAGTGAGACAGCCAGCGCTCTACTGGCCAAGGACAAGCAGATTGCTGCCTTGCAGAGGGAGTGCAGGGAGCTGCAGGCCAGGCTCACCCTGGTGGGCAAGGTGCGAGGAGGCCTTGGTCTTCCCTTCCAGCTCAGTCCTTCACTGGGCTGTCTGCCTGGTGTGTGGATGTGGGCCAGATGTTAATGAGATGCAAATGAAATGGGAAGGTGGAGGCTGCTGGGGAGTAGGTTCCCCTGGCAACGGCCCAGGTGGGAGATGGAAGAAGGAGCCTGAACTGAAGGGGGTGGAGCCGTGAGTCCACCATGGACATTTCTGTGGTCCAGGCTTGAGGCTGTGTGCCAGTGGGGCTGCTGTGTATTCACCAGGCATTTAGCACAGTGTGGGTCCACCGTGAGCACATGGGCTAGTGGAGGCATGTGATTGTATACGCATGCACATATATGACCATGCGTGGACGGATGGAAGGATGCGCACTTTCCCGCGCATCTGAGCCCCTCCAGCAGGGTGATGGAGGGGCTCTGTACAGGCAGGGGTTAGGTCTGATTCCCCTCCTCATCGCCTCACCCCAGGAGGGTCCCCAGTGGCTTCACGTGCGGGACTTTGACCGGTTGCTGCGCGAGTCCCAGCGAGAGGTGTTGAGGCTGCAGAGGCAGATCGCCCTGCGTAACCAGCGGGAGCCGCCGCCTCCGCCATCCCGACCCCCAGGCCTCCCTGCCCCTGTCAGAGCAGGGGCTCCGACCCCCGGGGCCCCGGGAGAGGTGAGCGCATGGGCAGGTGTGTGGGTTTGTGCAGATGAGGGATGGGCGACTCCGGGATCTCCTCTTGCACGGCGTTCAGAGTCAGACCCTGGGGTGACGTGGGCAATCCTAGGGTTTGGGAAACCTTCGGGTAGGGTCTCCTTTCGGCTCTCTAGCTCTCGTACCTGCGCCACGCCCTCCCTGCTTGGGTTCTGGGGTTCTGCCCTCCGGAGGCCTGCGCCCCGTGGGGCCAGCCCGGCCGCCCCTGCAGCGCAGCCAGTGGTACCGCCCGGCAGCAAATCCCTGGTTGCCCTGGCAGCCGCCCGGGGCCCAGCCGGCGCCTCCTCTTCCCGCTGCAGTGGTGGAGCGGGGACCCCCCCTTCAGCGCCCGCCCGGCCCGCCAGGCCTCGCCCTGGCCATCCGGGGGTGGCGGTGCGTCCCACCGGTTCCAGGTACGGGCGACCTTCACTGAGCAAGGGGCTTTGGCAGCCCCTTTCAGAAGGCCAGGGACCCACTACAGATTCCCAGAACCTAAGGGATCTGTCTCTAGGTGGGCAGCATCTAGGTCCGCCTCCTTCTGGGAAGACGGTGGGAGGAGGGACCCGATTGACGAAAGCCTCCAGGTGGGGGATGCTGCTTGCTCAGATTTTGCCCTTCCATCAAGATACACCTCCCATCAAGACCTAACAGCCTCCCCCAAAGTTTGTAGGAATAAATGGGAGGCGTGCTACAGTGGGCTTGGGGGAAGGCAGGAAGAGGGACTGGCCAAGTTTGCGCTACTCTAGGCCAACCCCAGATTTGGATGATCTAGAACCCCTTGCTCTGGGAGCACCACATCCCTGGGGGCCCAAGCAACCTCCTAATTCTTTGCCAGTCACTGAAGGACATCCAGAACAGTTACTGAGTGCAGAGCAGGGCAGTTGCTGGAAAGCTAAAAAGGGAAAGCTTTGGCCTGGATAAAGGACCCATCTCCCAGGGCACACGTGGGTCCCAGGATCTCAAAGCACTTATGGTTGGGGACACAGTGGTACAGCGTCTGTACTTCCATATCAGCTGGAGATGTTGGGAGGGGGTGGGCAGACAGCACCCCTCTCCCCCTTCCTAGGCAGAGGTCTTAAAGCTGACCGCCCGTGAGATGGGAGCTGTCCATGGGCAGGCTGGGCTGGGGGCAGGCTGCCCTGGGGCCCTGTTCTCAGGTGCCAGTCCCCCGCCCCTGGACATTTCCAGGCCACGCCCCAGGAGGATGTGGACAGTCCACCTGTGGTCCTAAGGGAGCCTGAGAAACTTCAGAGGGTGCAGCAGCTGGTAAGTCCCAGGTCAAGGGCTGGAGGTGGCCTGCTGTGGGCAGCTTGCCTTTCCCCATGAGGAACACTCTGTTCTGACCCTACAGGAGTCTGAGCTCAGTAAGAAGCGGAAGAAATGTGAGAGCCTGGAGCAGGAAGCCCGGAAAAAACAGAGGCGATGTGAGGAGCTGGTGAGCTCTTAAGGGTGCCCAAGGCCAGTTCCCCTTTCCCCAAGTCCAGCCAGGTGGTGGGTTCCCTAGCTCTTCTCCCAGCCCTCTGGTCCTCAGGAACATACTTTCCCTCCTATTCCATGGCACTTTCCTTTCCAAGCTGATGCAGGCTCCCAATAGGAAGGAAGGCCTTGCCTTTTGCTCACACAGGTTCCCTCCCCTGTGTGAGCAGAAGAGGAATGTAGGCTCTGGGCCCCTCCCCAGATCTCCCCTGTCCCATCAGGAACTGCAGCTGAGAGAAGCCCAGAATGAAAATGCTCGTCTGGTTGAGGAGAACTCCCGGCTCAGTGGGAGAGCCACAGAGAAGGAGCAGGTACAGCTTTGCCCTGCTGCTGGGTGGTTTGAAGGGTACTGTTTCCTCCTCCTTAGGAAGGAGCAGATGGGATTAGCTCCCTGACAATGTCCCCTTACCAGGTGGAGTGGGAGAATGCGGAGCTGAGGGGCCAGCTCCTGGGAGTGACACAAGAGAGGGACTCAGCCCTTCGTCAGAGCCAGGGCCTGCAGAACAAGCTGGAGAGCCTGGAGCAAGTGCTGAAGGTGAGAGGATTGTGCTGGGGGATGGTATTGGGCCTTGGGACAGGGAGACGGTGGGACAGTAGAATATGCCCTGTGGGGGGCACTGGGGTCTGAAGTCCAGTCCTGGCAGCACTTTTGCCTTCTCCAGCTTCATTTTCCTTTTATGTCCCTTTTTTCTTTTCTTTTTTTAGTGGTGCTGGGATTTGAACTCAGGGTCTTACGCTTGCTAGGCAGGCACTCTATCACTAGAGCTACTCTGCTAGCCCTCATGGCCTCATTTTCCTTTTTAATAGAGGGCGTCTGGAACAGATGACAGTTGAGGCTCCTTCAACGTAGATCTATGGAAAGAGTAGACTGGGGGGCTCTGACCTTGACTCGGAGTCTTATGTTTCAGCACATGCGGGAGGTGGCCCAGCGGCGACAGCAGCTGGAGGTGGAGCATGAGCAGGCCCGGCTCAGCCTGCAGGAGAAGCAGGAGGAGGTCCAGAGGCTGCAGCAGGTGGGGGCAGGAGTGAGAGAGGTAGTAAGCTACTAGACCCCAACTTTGCCAACAAGCACTTACTGTGTGCTTAGCACTGGGGAGACTGGTGAACAAAATATGGGTCCCTGACCAATCAGCCAAGAAGCCAACACAGGAATCAGATGATTTCAGACACTGACAAGCACACTGGGGGAGATTAACAGGGTAATGTGACAAGAAGTGACCGGTTAGGGGTGAAGAGCCGCTTTAGCGAAGTCATCAGGGAAGGCCTGATGACTAATAACTGAGCTAACAACTCAGGGGTGAGAAGGAGTTAGTTAGGAGAGCCAAGGGCAGTGCAGGCAAGGTAGGAGGAATAGATGTGCATGTGCTCTGTGGCAGGGAAGAGCACTGTAGCTAGAATATAGGAGAGATGGACAGAGTGACAGGGGTCAGGCCTTAAAGGTGTAGAAACTTTGGATGTTTTGCTCCATGAGCAGGCGGTGGCGGTGGAAATACTCTGAGTAGGGGAGTGACTTCACAAGATCATGTTGGTAGGAAGGGGCGGGGCGTGGAGCAGGTGATCAGATGTTAGCAGCTGCAGCAGTGGTTCAGGAAGGAGACAGTGGTGGTCTGGACCAGGGTGCAGGTGACAATGGAGGTGGAAACAAGTGGACACTTTAACATAGTTTGGAGATAGGACTGGTGAGACTCACTGTGGGATTCTCGTTGAGTCCCTAGTTGTGTGCTGTGTGAACCCTGGGGGTGGGTAGGACTTTTCACTCCCCAGGAGGTGAAGGAGGAAGGAGAACCAGCTTCAAGAGCTGAGGATTCCTGAGTTCCCTTGTTCTGTTTTGGCAAGTTTGGGTTGTGTGCTGAACATTTGGGCACAAGTCTGGAGTTATAGGGAAATTGGCCTTGGAGATATTTGGAGTCATCAGTGTGTTCAGTTGGGTGACTAGATGGGACCTTTCAGGTGTTCAGGGTGGAGTTTGGGAGGTGGAAACCTTTCAGTTTCTCCCTTCTTAGACCCCCCTCCTTTTCTCCTTACGATACCCTCCTCCCCCCTCCTTCCCTCCTTTTGTCCTTCCTACCCTCTATCCCTTCCTTACACTTCCCTCTTTTCCACCCCATTCCTCATCCTTCCCTTCCAGCATTTTGCCTCTTCCTATCCATAGGCCCAGGCAGAAGCCAAGAGGGAACATGAAGGAGCGGTGCAGCTGCTGGAGGTAGGGTCCCTAGAGGTGACCACCAGCCTCACCACCTTGGGAGGAAAGCAGGGACTTCAGACAAGGCCATAATGGACTCTGAATGTGTAGGGGTGGTACAGTAGAGTTGTAGGGGCCATTACAGACTCCAGGACCTCAGGGAATCCTTCCATCATTGGCCGGCCTGTTCTTCAGGGAGGCAGAGGCATGAGTGTGTGGCAGCAGTCTTCTATTGCTACCCACCCAGAGGCTGCCTTTACTCGGGCATGTCCTTCCATTTAGGAGATGCTCCATCAGCGCAGGAAGCTGTCTGGGTGGTGTCTACTTCAGTTCCTCTCTCTGTCCTTCCCTCCCTCTGTGGGTCAATGACCTGTAGGGTGAAGGGTTCTAAACTCTCCTCTGCTCTTTCCTTCCCCGCCACAGTCTACCTTGGATTCCATGCAGGTACAGTCTCCTTACCCCCTCTACCTCTCTGGGGTGTCCCTTCCCCAGGCCTCTTCTACATCCCTTCCCTCTGAGTCCAGGTGATTTCACCTCCCATGTCCAACAGAGGGGGAGTCCCTGGTAGCAAGCCCTAACACTCCATAGATGGGCTGGGGTTCCTACAGGATATGTGCCCTCATCCCAGACCTGCTACTGAGCCTGGAGACACGGGACCTTCCCTCCTGTAGTCTCTCAGACCATGAGGAAGTTTGTCACCAACTGACTCATGCTCCTCGTGACATTTACCAGGGGAGAGCCTGATACCTGAGAAAAGGTCCTGAGAACCATCTGATTCCTATTACACAGATGCCCCTAGCTTCCTATGGAACCTCTTGCCTCTTCTCTGAAGGCAGGGATTTGGGTCACTGACTGGGAGGGTGATGAGGGATGGAGCCGAGAGAATTCCTGAGGTGATGCTGGTGGTAGTAATGAGGTGGGAAGATCTCTTTGTCCTGAAGTAGGAGTGCTCTGGGCCTGACGGTTGGTGAGTGTGTGGCAGGCCCAGGCCCAGGGTTGGTACCCAGGCCAGGGGCTGGTGGATGTGGTCTGAAGCCCAGTGTACTACGGCTATGTGGAGATGGCATGGGTGGGCAGTGGGTAGTTTTCCTGGGCCTGGTGGCTCATGGTGGGTCTTGGCCCAGGCCCGGGTTCGAGAGCTTGAGGGACAGTGCCGCAGCCAAACTGAGCGCTTCAGCCTCCTGGCACAGGAGCTCCAGGCCTTCCGTCTGCACTCAGGCCCCCTGGATCTGCTCACTTCTGCCCTGGGCTGCAGTGCTCTTGGGGACCACCCACCACCTCCCTGCTGCTGCACCAACCCTCAACCCTGCCGGGGGTCTGGCCCCAAAGGTAAGGTAGACCCCAGTGAATCCCTAGGCCTGGGACTTTTGTATAGAGCAGAGAGTTCAGGATCAGGGAAGGCCAGCAACTCATTCGAAGTCACACAACAAGTTAAAGCTATACCTGAGTAGAGCCAAGCTCTGATGTGAAAAACAAAGCTCAAGGAGCAAAAACCCCAGAGTCTGACCTAGGCCTCTTAGACCACTGTTCCTCTCCCTCTAACTAGGCCTCTGTGGTCATAGGTGGGAGCTGGGCACTAGAAATCAGTAGCAGTGCCTTGAGAGGAGTGAGGGCTTGAGTTAGGCAGGCCTGGTGGCCCCAGCTCCACTCAAAAACCAATGTGAGTTTGAGGATGTTGCTTAACCTCTCTGGGCCATGGTTTCCTAAGCCATAAGCCAGGAATAAATCAATGCTTTTCATCAAGCTGTTCTAAGGACCATGTGAAATATACATAAATTACATATACCTCAGCTTAGTACCTTTACCCCTAAATATTTCCCTTCTTGTAAGGAAATCCCACAATGGAGGGCCTGATGCCCATATCCGAGAGGCTCCACCCTATCTCCCTGGTCCCTCTTCAGGCCACAGATCCCAAGCCCACGTGCCATCTTCTCTTTAGACCTTGACCTCCCGCCGGGCTCCCCAGGGCGCTGCATCGCAAAGTCTTCCGAGCCTGTCCCTGCCACCCTTATTGGGGTTCCTCGAAGGACAGCCAAAAAAGCAGAGTCTCTCTCTAACTCCTCTCGCTCTGAGTCTGCCCACAACAGCCCCAAGTCATGCCCTACACCAGAGGTCAGTGCTGGGGAGGGGGCCTGAGGTTCTGGTATTAGCTTGGGAAAGGGGAGGGGTTGGCTCTGACTGCTTCTCCAGTCCCCAGGAGTTGGGTGGCCACTGGTCTCAAGCTGGGAGGCAGAACGTCTATGGATTCCTCCTGTGGGCGGGGAACTCAAGTGGAGCCTGTCCCTCTCTCTAGGGCCACCCAACTCCACCCTCAGAGGCCCAAGGAGGCCTTAGAGACCTGGGCTGGATGGAGGAGACACTTAGGCGCCAGTATCCTCATAATAAGAGAGTTCATAAGCGCATCTGTAGTAGAAGCAGCTGGTTGTGTGAGAAAGAGCACAGATTCTGGTTTAAATCCCAGCTTTGTCTTAGGCAAGTCACACATGTACCCTTTCTGGGCTTCAGTTTCCTTATCTGAATGCTGGGGATAATAAATCCTGCCTTCTAAGATTGTGAGGATCACTGAAAAATTTCAGTGCCTGTCTCAGTGCGAGACACCCAGTAGATGTTTAACCTATGGCAGTGGTTGTCATCCCTAAGCTCTTGAGCATCACTCCCAGCTCTTCTGATTGATCACTTTGTCTCTGTTTCTACCCATAAACCCTAGAAAGTGGAGGGCTTAGGTCAGGAACAACCCTGCTAGCCAGGGTTTCAGAAAGTGGTAGAACCCAGCCTGGGTCTCTTCTGCCCTCTTGTGGTGTAGAGTGGTGATGCCAGCTTAGGGGCTGCCTGCTGAATCATCTCCCAGGGGACAGAAAGTTCTGCATTTGAGAGCTGAACCACAGGGACACCATTGTTGAGCTAGAGGCAGGGGCTTCTCCAGCCTCTTCTGCCTCCTTGCTTGCTTGTCTCTCTTTACAATAAAGATGTTTTGCTGAGTTTTTACCTTAAGATGCCGAACCATCATTCATGCTGCTCCCTCTTAGGTGGGGAAAGTGGCCTTATTTACTGAGCTGGAGCAGTACAAGCCAGGACTCCAGGTGTCCCCATACCCCCTGAATAGAGCAACTGGGTGCTTCCAAGACCTACTTGCTACTTGATGGTTTAGAAATCACCAGGACCCCATTGCACTGGCTTGCCAGCAGGTGTATTCTCACTTTGCTTTCTCAAAGCCCCAGGTCCTCCTCTGATTCAGTCTGGATATCTGCCTGTTGTGCCTTTGGTCTTGGGCCCTGAAAAGGAAACAGGTCTTTCTGTCTGCCTCCAGGTGGACACAGCCAGTGAGGTGGAGGAGCTGGAGGTAGACAGCATCTCCCTGCTCCCAGCAGCACCAGAGGCCAACCCGGGAGGATCCAGAATCCAGGTCTTCCTAGCACGCTATAGGTGGGCCCCTCACCTTCACTTACCTCCTCCTAGCATTGGGGGCATATGGGAGGAGGTGACTGGATGAAGATAGGGACTTCTGGAGGTGGTGGGGATGGAACAGGGATCCCGGCTGGACATATTCTCATAACCTAGTTGAGCCAAGTTGGGCACATGAGTGCTCTATTTGGCTAAAGGTGAAAGTCAAGTCTCTATAAAAGTTTGGTGCATGGGGGAAACAAGAGGGGCATGGAAATGCAGTGCAGGTCTCTGTTCTCCTCCTCCTCTGCCCTCCCTCAACAGCTACAACCCCTTCGAGGGCCCCAATGAGAATCCAGAGGCGGAGCTTCCACTGACGGCTGGTGAATATATCTATGTCTATGGCAACATGGATGAGGATGGCTTTTTTGAAGGTAGGTTAGTAGTAGAGATCATTTTGTCCATTTCCCTGCCTTTAAGCCCTTGTTCCCAAGACTCTATCAATCCCTTCCTGCTCCCCAGCCTACTTGGCCCACCATAACTTTTCAGACTCAGTTAAGAGACATGCCTAGAACTGGCAGCCAGTGGGGAAAGAAAAAAAGGGGTCCGGCCCCAAGCAGGACAGGCCAGGACAGTCCAGACTGTGGATAGAGCATCACAGGAAATTTTGGCTAGTCATTTTTGTGCTGATAGATAGAGCATGGCAGCATTTAACACTGGTGACCCTCAAGGTCAGCTATGTGGTCTAACTTGGATGCTGGACTCCAACTGGAATGATATGGGGAGAAGGAATCAGAGTCCAGATCCCAGAAGAAGGTATGAACAGGAGGTTAGCAGGTGTCCAGGCCCAGGTAGGGCATGAGCTTCAGGGCAGTTTCTCCAGTTCCCAAAGGAAGTGAGAGAGCGCATCAGGCAACTGAGGCAGATGCCTCATTGAGACTGGGCCACAGGGCAGAGCCTGCAGAAGGAATGACCATGGGAGCCTCCTTCAGGATGGTTCTGGTCTGGGAACCAGGCACATCCTTCAGCAGTGGGGAGGACAGAGACTGGGATGAGGAATGGGCAGGGCAGAGGAAGGGCCATGGAGGTTTAGGAAAGGGTCAGGTGTGAGCGTGGGACACCAAAGGCTTTGGGGGCTGCTCAGCTCCTTTTTCTGGGCTTTATGCCTATTACTTGAGTAACTGCTGAAAGGATGGTACCTGGCTTTGTGGTACCTCCCCATAGGGGAAGTTAATTGCTTTTTTTAGATTTCTCAGTACATTTAGAAATGCAGCTATTATAAATGCAGAAAGAGGGGACAAAATTCTTTTTTTTTTTTTGGCAGTACTGGGGTTTGAACGCAGGGCTTCATGCTCGCTAGGTAGGCTTAAGCCACACTTCCAGCCCCATAGGGTCAGATTCTGAAGAGTGGAATTAAGTAGCTCCCAAGAGAACTTTTTTAAATGAAAACAAGCAAACAATGCCTACCATTTTTTAGAACGGGGCGGGGGGGCTAAGTATATACCCTAAACTATAGAATTTGAACTATACATTTTGGGGGAGATTGGGTTAGATTTAGACAAAGGCAAGTTGTTTACTTGCCTTATGCATTGTCCAGCTCTCATAAGAGACTGCTTCATCTATGACTGGTCCCTGCTGCACTGATCTGGGTGGCCTGTACTTCGAGGGCCTGACTCTGGCTTCAGACTCGTATCATTGAGCCTCTGACCATCAGTCCTATAATCCTTAGTGCTACTGCTTATAATAATTGCCTCAGGCTGTGTAGCAATTACCGCCAACTGTGTGGCTTCAAACAACAGACATTTATTCTCTCACTGGCCTTTTTAGGAGGTCAGAAGTCTGAAATCAAGGCACTGGCAGGGCTGAATTCCCTCTGGAGGCTCAAGGGAAGATTGCATTCCTATCTCTTTTATTTCTGATAGCTCCAGGTGTTCCTTGGTTTGTGGCCACATCAGTCCAGTCTTTGCAACTGCAATCACACTGCATCCTCCTCTTTTCTGAGTGTCTCTTTTATAAGGACACTTGTTATTAGATTTAGTACCCACTGGATTTAGGTGGGTCCTAGATTTGGGATGATCTCTTCTCAAGATCCTTAGCTTAATTACATTTATAAAGATGCTTTTTCCAAATAAGGTCACATTCTCAGATTCTCTGGATTAGGACATGAAATATTTTTGGGTGGCTACCATTCAGCCCACCACAATGCATATTATATTATCTAATTTATTGAGATTCCCTTTTTTTTTTTTCACATTTTATTTATTTATTTATTTCATTTTTCTTTTATTATTCATATGTGCATACAAGGCTTGGTTCATTTCTCCCCCCTGCCCCCACCCCCTCCCTTACCACCCACTCCGCCCCCCTCCCTCTCCCCCCCCTCAATACCCAGCAGAAACTATTTTGCCCTTATTTCTAATTTTGTTGTAGAGAGAGTATAAGCAATAATAGGAAGGAACAAGGGTTTTTGCTGGTTGAGATAAGGATAGCTATACAGGGCATTGACTCACATTGATTTCCTGTGCGTGGGTGTTACCTTCTAGGTTAATTCTTTTTGATCTAACCTTTTCTCTAGTACCTGTTCCCCTTTTCCTATTGGCCTCAGTTGCTTTAAGGTATCTGCTTTAGTTTCTCTGCGTTAAGGGCAACAAATGCTAGCTAGTTTTTTAGGTGTCTTACCTATCCTCACCCCTCCCTTGTGTGCTCTCGCTTTTATCATGTGCTCATAGTCCAATCCCCTTGTGTTTGCCCTTGATCTAATGTCCACATATGAGGGAGAACATACGATTTTTAGTTTTTTGAGCCAGGCTAACCTCACTCAGAATGATGTTCTCCAATTCCATCCATTTACCAGCGAATGATAACATTTCGTTCTTCTTCATGGCTGCATAAAATTCCATTGTGTATAGATACCACATTTTCTTAATCCATTCGTCAGTGCTGGGGCATCTTGGCTGTTTCCATAACTTGGCTATTGTGAATAGTGCCGCAATAAACATGGATGTGCAGGTGCCTCTGGAGTAACCGTCTTTTGGGTATATCCCCAAGAGTGGTATTGCTGGATCAAATGGTAGATCGATGTCCAGCTTTTTAAGTAGCCTCCAAATTTTTTTCCAGAGTGGTTGTACTAGTCTACATTCCCACCAACAGTGTAAGAGGGTTCCTTTTTCCCCTCATCCTCGCCAACACCTGTTGTTGGTGGTGTTGCTGATGATGGCTATTCTAACAGGGGTGAGGTGGAATCTTAGTGTGGTTTTAATTTGCATTTTCTTTATTGCTAGAGATGGTGAGCTTCTTTAGGATTTTCTTACTGTTTTTTTTTTTATTATTATTCTCCTAGTATAAGCAGAGAGAGATGGTAGGGGTGGCACAAATTACTACTGGGGAAACTCTAGGCACCCTGAGCTTAGCCCTATACTGTGCTCTTCCTTTCTCAGAATAAGATTCTACAGCCACCCACTGTCACATCCTGAGAAGTGTTTTCCTTTTTTTTTTGGCAGTACTAGGGCTTGAACCCAGGGCTTTGAATTTGCTAGGAGATGCTTTACCACTTGAACAACACCACAGGCCCTTTTTGCTTTAGTTGTTTTCCAGATAGGGTTTTTTTTTTTTTTTTTTTTTGCTCTGGCTGGCCTGGACCTTCTATTTACTCTTCCCACATAACTGGATAACAGGTACTTGCCACTGTGCCCAACTTTTTATTGGTTGAGATGGGGGTCTTGCTGACTTTTTGCCTGGGCTAGCCTTGAGCTAATTCTTCCTGATCTTCCCCTCCTGAATAGCTAGGTTACAGCAGCTCAGATGAGCCACTGAGCTATTTCCCCCCACTTAGTTATTTTTTCCTTTTTTAAATTGGCTATGACATGACATGCATGTGCCCAGATTCCTTCTTCCTTGATATCCCTCAAATAAACAACAACAAATGTTTTTAAAAACTCACGTCACGTCTTCAGGAGAATTGACACAGGTAACAAACACTGCTGGTCTCTGCCTGGATTGACTGCCAGCTGTTCTCTTGGCTCTTGTAGGCTGTGGGTCCTGATTCTTTCTAGAACCTGCATGTGACTCTTTGCCACTTACTTCTTCCATTACCCTGATGAGGTGGCTGCTTCTTCTCCTTTTTTTTTTTTGGTGGTGCTGGGGTTTGAACTCAGGGCTTCATACTTGTTAAGAAGGTGCTGTTACCACCTGAGCCATTTCACCAGCCCCTTCTTCTCCTTTTTTGATAATTGTTTTTAACAAAGGGAAGGTGAGGGACACCCCAGCCTCTATCCCATAAGCCTGTGTAAAATCCAGTGTGGGAGCATTTCAATTAGTAGAATCTGTTTTCTTTTCTTTCTTGCTTTGATTTTTTTTTTTTTTTTGAGACAGAGTCTCACCATGTATCCCCAGATTAGTCTTCAGCTTACCATCCTCTTGACTGTTGGGATTACAGGTGTGAACCTCCATACCTGGCTAGTTCAGCTTTTTAATATGAAAATTTTCAAATGTATAAAAAAGTTAGAGAGAAGTACAATGAACACTGGTATACCACCACCTAGATTTCATGACTGGCTATACCTTATTGTATTTGCTTGATTCATGTTTAGGTTAAAATGATTTTAAAGCAGTTTGTATCCATCATGACATTTTACCCAGAAATACTTGAACATAGCACCAGCATCACCTGGGAGCTTGTTAAAAATGCAGAAGCTCAGCCTCTTCCAGACCAGACTGAAAGTAGAATCTGCATTTTAAAAAATCTGCAGGGGAGCTATATGCACATTAAGATGTAAGAAGCACTGGCCTATATAACCAAAATGCTATTATAGCATCTACAAAAGCCAAGAATAATTCTCTAATCTAGACTTTGACTGCTCTTATCTTTTGATAGGTAAATGTTGACTTGAATCCAATGCTTATTAAGATCACCGACTAGACATGGCTAAAATGCATTCATCAGACCATTTTTTCTTTACTGCCTCTCTGTCTGTCTTCCCCTTCCCTATCTTTTCCTGTTCTCCCTCTGCCAGGGGAGCTCATGGATGGCCGAAGAGGCCTGGTCCCTTCCAATTTTGTAGAGCGTGTGTCTGATGACGACCTTCTGACCTCCCTCCCTCCGGAACTGGCCGATTTGTCCCTCAGCTCAGGCCCTGAATTCAGTTTCCTGAGCGGAGGCGGGGGTGGCAGCAGTAGCGGGGGCCAGAGCAGCGGGGGACATAGACAGCCCAGACTGGAGGAGGAGGATGCAGGGGATGAGCCCAGTCTAAGCCCCCAACCTGAGGGCCTGGGTGAGCCTCCTGCTGTGCCTTACCCCCGCCATCTGGTGGTCCTCAAGCAGTTGGCCCACAGTGTGGTGCTGGCCTGGGAGCTGCCACCTGAGCAAGTAGAACTTCACGGCTTCCATATCTGCGTGAATGGGGAGCTGCGTCAGGCCTTGGGGCCCAGGGCACCTCCCAAGACTGTGATTGAAAACTTGGACCTGCGGACTGGGCCCCTCCATGTTTCTGTCCAGGCCCTGACCAGTAGGGGCAGCTCTGACCCTCTGCGTTGTTGCTTGGCTGTGGGTGCTCGGGCTGGGATAGTACCTAGCCAGCTGCGGATCCATCGGTTGACAGCCACATCTGCTGAGATCACCTGGGTGCCCAGCAATAGCAACTTGGCTCATGCCATCTACCTCAATGGGGAAGAGTGTCCACCTGCCCGCCCCAGCACCTACTGGGCCACCTTCTGCCACTTGAGGCCTGGCACACTCTATCAGGCCCAAGTAGAGGCTCAGCTCCCACCCCAAGGGTCCTGGGAACCAGGCTGGGAGAGGCCGGAGCAGCGGACTGCCACTCTACAGTTCACCACACTTCCAGCAGGTATGCAGGTGTGGGCACAGATGTCCATAACACCCAGGAGGCCAGGTCATGGGTGACAGTGCCCTATGTACACTTTGAGAGAAATGGCAGATTGAGTGGTATTTCTGGCAGGGAGTGTCTTACATTATTGGGTCTTGTGCCCCACTTCCCCCAGGCCCACCTGATGCCCCCCTGGATGTGCAGATTGAACCGGGGCCCTCCCCTGGAATCTTGATCATCAGCTGGCTCCCTGTCACCATTGATGCTGCTGGTACCTCCAACGGTGTCCGGGTCACAGGCTATGCCATTTACGCTGATGGGCAGAAGGTATGGCCTGGGAACTTCACCTGCCTGTACCTGGGGAGCAGGATGTTGGGCCTTCCTTGCTATAGTCAGAGGCCTAGTTTCCCTGGCCTGGCAGAGATGCCCAGTCCCTGGCACTACATGGAAAATTGGTTAAGAGGGTGTGTTTTGGCAGCACCCTAGGGATTTAATAACTGTTCTACCTCTGAAGCCTTTTGGCCAGGAGAACTGAAAGAGATAAGGCATGCAAAGGGCTTAGCACAATGCCTGGCAGGATGCTAGCCACCATTGTTGTCACTGTGTCCTTGCACTTGGCTATCTCAGCCTACCTTTCCTGTATGCTTCCTCCTCCCTGTAGATCATGGAGGTGGCCTCACCCACAGCAGGAAGTGTGCTGGTGGAGTTGTCCCAACTGCAGCTGCTCCAGGTGTGCCAAGAGGTGACTGTGCGTACCATGTCGCCCCATGGAGAGTCGGCTGACTCCATTCCGGCTCCTATTGCTCCAGCCCTGACTGCAGCCTGCCTGCCAGCCAGGGTCACCTGCCCCTCACCACGACCAAATCCAGAGGTCAAAACACCCCTTGCTCCAGCCTCCCCAGGGCCTGGGGATCCCAGTTCTCCCCTACAGCATCCTGCCCCTCCTGGAACTCAGGAGCCCCCAGGAGGCCCCCCAGAAAGCCCTTTCAGGGAGATGCCCAAAGGATCCCAGGAGGAACTTCCAGCACCTTGCTTCCAGGTACCTTGTTTGGGTGGAAGGGAGCAGGTGCAGGCTGGGAAAAGGACTGGGGTTTGTACTCTTCCTCAATGCCATCCATTCCAGGAGGAGGCTGGGAAAGTTGTGCTGGGTGCCTTAGAAGAGAGGAGGACCAGTGAGCCAACCCTGGGTGAGGGGAGCCCTGGCCCTGTGACTCCTACCCTTCCTGGCCAGGCTGAGTGGGCTTCAGGAGACACTGGCCCCACGCCCTGCTCTACCCAAGGAGCTCTGTCCCAGAGGGTGCCAAGTACTGAGGCCTGCGTTGGAGGAGACCCAGGGCTGACACCCAGGGCTGAGGTAGGGGTTGGGGGCACAGTGTATCACCTCACAGAATTGAGGCTTGCCTTCCCTACCCTTTGTCAGCCTAAATCTGGTTACCCTCTCTGCCTGTCCTCTGCTGTGGCTCTCACACCTTTGTCTGTGCTGTGTGTCTGTTTCTTTGTTACAGTTTTCTTCCCTTATTTCTCACTCCCATTTAGCTTCCAACCGCTGCCCATCCAGCATACTCCTGTTCTGACTATGGCTCTTTTTCCCAAGGAGCCCTTTTTAATCTGGCCGTGGCTTACCCTGACTTAACCCCCCACCCCCCAACTCCGTACCTCTCACAGCCCTTCCTGTCTTTCCTCCCTTGTCTCACCTCTTGCAGAGAGAAGATACAGTGGAGCTTGAGGCTCATGTGGCGAACTCCCTTGTGGATCATGGCCGCAACTCAGACCTGTCAGACATCCAGGAGGAGGAGGAGGAGGAGGAGGAGGAGCTGGAAGAGGAGGAGGAGGAGGAGGAGGAGGAGGAGCTGGAGCTGGGTTCCAGAACTTGCTCCTTCCAGAAGCAGGTTGCTGGCAATAGCATCAGGGAGAATGGGGCCAAGGTAATGGGGTGGGAAGGGGCTGATGGGCCCCAGACCTCATGCTTCAGGGGCCTCCACCCCATGTCAGCAGCTACTCCAGCCACCAGTAGTGCCAGCAACATTCTAGGTGTGTGGCCTGGGCCCTGTCTGAAGTAGCAGGCATGAAGGGGCCCAGGCTGGGCCTCTACCCTGCTGGGAAGAAAGGGAAGGAGAGCTTGCTTCACACTTCTCCAGCCTGCCTGATGCAGTGCCCTGGTCAGGGGGAGCTGGTGCCATCTGAGAGCCTTGTCCTGGGAGCCTCTGGGGAGGGGATGGGGAGCCCTCCCTATGTGACAATCCTGACTTGCTCCCTGATGCTCCTGCCCCACAGGGGCTGGTGTCTGATCCTCCGTTCTACCTGTACATGTGTATGTCTTGGGCAAGCCACTGTCCCTCTGGTTCTTTCCTTTTGGATGAAGCTGAGGGAGGGCCGTGGGGGTAGCCCTAACCTCTGCTCTCTTTTGAGGCAAAAATCTCAGCCCTCTCCTCTTCCCCATGGGCCTCTCTTCCCTGCTGCTCTCTTCTCCTCACTCCCAGCCCCAGCCCGACCCCTTTAGTGAAACTGACAGCGATGAGGAGATCTTGGAGCAGATCCTGGAGCTGCCCCTCGAGCAGTTCTGCAGCAAGAAGCTTTTTAGCATCCCTGAGGAAGAGGAAGAGGAAGACGACGAGGAGGAGAGGCCAGGAGCCAGCTGTTCTTCCCAAGACCTTGACCAGCCTGAACCTGCATTGCTGGGGTTAGGCTGTGACAGTGGTCAGTCCCAAGGACCTGGCCTGTGTCCCCTGTCTCTTGAGCCCTCCAGGGCCAGAGACCGCCCAGAAGATACACCCGGACTAGTTGGTGGAATCACCCGAAGGAGAGGAGGTGGCTCCCCTGAGAAGCCACCAAACCGCAGGCGACCTCCAGATCCCCGTGAACAGTGTAGCCGGCTTCTCAGCAATGGCGGGTCCCAGGCCTCTGCACGCCCAAGCCTCCCACGGGACAGGGTTGGCCTCCCTGTGGTTGAAGGCACCAGGGGTGGACTAGAGGCTGGTGGAAGAGGGAGGCAGAGCCTTTCCTGGAGGTGCCCCCGTGGCCCAGCCCCAGAATCCAGCCTGGCCAGCTGCCTTTCCCCCAAGTGCTTGGAAATCAGCATTGAATATGATTCTGAGGATGAGCAGGAGGCGGGCAGTGGGGGCATCAGCATTATTAGCTCCTGCTACCCTGCAGATGGGGAGACCTGGGGTGCAGCACCTATAGGAAGGTCCAGGGGGCCTCTGAAGGCCAATTCAGGCCCCAACTCTTACCCACGCCTCCCAGCCTGGGAGAAAGGGGAACCAGAGCGGAGAGGCCGCAGTGCAACTGGCAGAACCAAGGAGCCACCCTCCCGGGTCTGTGCCTACTCCCCACCCTGGGCAGCTCTCTGCTTGCTGCCACCTGGTGGCTCTGCTTGCTGCCCACCAGCCACTCCCATTCCACGCTGCTGCCTCCATCAGCAGAGCTGGGGCCGGGTCTCCAGGCTTCCTCACTTGCCTTCTCCCACCCACATTCCACTGCTTTGCTGCTTCTGCTGAATGGAACTGGGATGCACAATATTCTGTTATCACTGTCATCGCTCGCTACCTTGGGCAGGGTGGCCCTGTCCTCTGAATAGCTAATTATGTCTTCAGGACACTGACTGATGCCATGTGCAGAGTCACCAGATCTGATGCTGATGGGAGATCTTCCTCTCACACGTTCCTTGGCCACCACAGGCCCCTCTACTACACTCATCTAATAGAGGGGCTGGGGCTTGGGCTAGGCCCTTCTCTCCCACCCTCCCTCCTTCCGCAGGGGTGTCTGGCATCTCAGTGAGGCTGGGCCCAGGCCCCTGGAGAGGAATGCTGTGCTCCTGTTCTGCTGTGCCGCTTACGCTACTGATGGGGCAGAGCTGGGAACATGGGCCCTCAAGAGGGATGGTGTGTGATTTCTGCCATCTGTTGCCCTCTCTTTGCAGGCAACAGAGACTGGGGAGCCCAGAGGGCAGGACAGCTCTGGGCGGAGGTATCCCCAGAAGAGAGGGACTCGGGTGCCCAGGCTAGGTGCCACTGAGCTGGGTGAGCACCCATTGGGGTCTGGGCCCGGCTTGAGGGAGCCCTTTCTAATTCCTTGAGTGGAACTCACTGAGTGACTGCTCTGTCTCCAACCCTCTCCACAGCCCCTCCAAGAAGCCCCCCAGAAGTACTGGCTCATCAGGACCCACCTGTGAGAGTCTTTGTGGCTCTGTTTGACTATGACCCTGTGTCAATGTCACCCAACCCTGATGCTGGAGAAGAGGAGCTCCCCTTCCGGGAGGGTCAAATCCTGAAGGTGATAGACTCACTCTCTGGGCCCAGAACCCCAGATTCTGGCCAACTTTCTGCCTCCTGCCTCCTTCCTCCACTGGAGGCATCATAGAGTTGGAGGGGAGGGGAACAGAGAACATGGCTTGTAGGCCAGATTATGGGGTTTGGACCCTGCCTCTGTCAGGTCTAGCTATGTAGCCTTGAGTAGATCACTGAATCCCTCTGTTTCCTCACTGGTAAAATGGGGATAGTGTTAGTGTCTTCATCATAGGGTTGCTTGTGGAATAAATGATTCAATCTTATAGGTTGCTTATGGGGTACACTGATGGAAAGGCCATGTAGTCAGTGGATGATGATGATATAGAAAGGGCTCTTTTCTCCTGTTGTCCCAATATTGAATGTTTGCTGTTTGCTCCTTTTTCCCACCCCTCACCAGCAGAAGAGAGCATTCTTCTGTGCTTCCAAATGGGGTGCTGCCGGGCTTTGTGTCCAGAGGTGCAGGGAGTGCCTGAACTGGCCTCCCAAGACAACAAGTGTTTGCTTCCAGGTGTTTGGGGACAAAGATGCTGATGGCTTCTACCGGGGTGAAGGTGGGGGCCGGACAGGCTACATCCCCTGCAACATGGTGGCTGAGGTGGCTGTGAACAGTCTGGCAGGGAGACAACAGCTGCTTCAGTGGGGTTATTTGTCTCCAGATGTTCTTGTTGAGGGCTCAGGTATGACTTGTGCTGTCCTGTCACCTATCACCTGCCGCTGCAGTTCCAACCCAACCCTATCCTAAGTGATTAGTATGTGTGAGGTGACGGGGGTGCCTCATTTATCCAGAGTCTAGCAGAGCCCCTGGAGCCTGGCAGAGAGTAAGACCAGCATGGCCACCCCTTGGGCTTACTACCATGTGAAGTGGGAGTCTGTCACCTTGGGGTTGGCCTGGATAGGACAATCAACGATTTTGGTCTTATTTTGGGGCCTGGAAGTCAGCAGGGTTCTTGTCAGAGAAGGCCCTTAAGAAATGAGCTCAGGAACCCTGCACAGCCATGGGAGGGGTCTCCATTCTGTCCTGTTTTCTCCACGTCCTCTGCCTCCATTTCTCTCTCACATCTACTTGCCTTCCCACATCAGGGAACAGTCCCTTTGGGAACTCCACAGCCCGCACAACTGGGCCTCCCCCTAAGCCCCGGCGTTCCAAGAAAGGTGAGTGGGCCCCATTCTCCTGCCGTGTCTGAGAAGGGCATGTGGTTTGGTGGTGGGGTGGCTCTCTGAGGAGACACAGATGAAGGGACTCAGAGAAGACCTTCACCCGCATCACTCCCTCTAATGGGGGGCTTTGTTCTGATGGGAATGAGGAATGATTTGCCAGGACCTCTGTTCCCCAAAGCACCTGATTGTGAACTCTGTGCAGCCTGAAGCAAGTCACCTACCCTTTCTGGGCCTTAGTGCACTACCAACCCAAAGAGTTGTGCTGGTGCGTCTCTAAGCATCCTTTCCTTCTGCATCCTTCATGCAAGGGGGAGCATCTTGTCTTCCCTGGGCCGCCCCAGCCTGGGATGAAGAAGGGAGGGCAGAATAGGGCTCAGTGGTACATTCTCTCCACAGAGGAGTTGGGAGGCCCTGCCCAGCCCTGTCTAGGTGAGGGGCCATCCCTGGGCAAGGGTGTCTTAGAAATGAGGTGGGATGAGGGCAGCCCATCCTTTGGGACTCTCCTCCGGGGGTTACAACAGTGGGGTGGTGATGAATAGGGAGTCATCAGGCCACCACTGCAGAGAATTGTATGGAGTCTTCCTTCCCTCTTCAGGACCCCCCAAGCTGATCCCGTCTGCTGGCCTGAAAGCCCCCCGCCCCATGGTGGCAGCATTTGACTACAACCCTCGGGAGAACTCCCCCAATATGGATGTGGAGGTGAGGACCCTTAGATAGTGCCTAGAAATGGGGGTGGTGGTGGCAGGGCCTATCTGAGCCTAACGCCTGCCTCTTGTTTTCTCTGCAGGCAGAGCTGCCTTTCAGGGCGGGGGATATTATTACTGTGTTCGGGAACATGGATGATGATGGTTTCTTCTATGTGAGAGCATTTCAAGGGACGGTGCACTGTATCCCAGCTCACAGGCTGGGCAGGGAATGGGGAAGGACTCCCGATGGAAGCCTAGAGAAGTGGGCTGTTCCCCAAGGGCCTCAGGGTCAACAGGACAGGGCTAGGGCCTCTTTCCTGGTCTCAGTCTCACCAGCATCTCTTCTCCAGGGAGAACTGAATGGACAAAGGGGCCTGGTTCCATCCAACTTCCTGGAAGGTCCTGGGCCTGAGGCAGGCATCCCAGACAAGGAGCCTGGGACATCACAGGCGGAGAGTCAGGTCAGTGAGGAAGGAGCTGGGCTCCCACATCAGTATTTGCTCTCTACTCTGTTGGTGTGGAGGGGCCAGAATAGTGTGGTGAGAGTGACGAGGCTGAGAAGCACTGCGTCCAGGGCAGACATGCTGAGTTTCTGCCAGAGGGAGCCCCGTGGGGGCAGCCCCCACCCAGTGTATGGCCTTGTCTGCAGAAGGGTGGTAGCACTCTGGGTCTGATGTGGGAGAGGTGCCCCTGTGGTAAAGAAGCCTCACCTCCTACTTGTAGCCAATCATAGCCCTGGTTTCAGGGTGCTCCCACCCTGCTGGGTCTCCCTGCCTCCTAGGTGCCTCTCTTTTTCTTCTTCTTCTTCTTTTTTTTTTCCTTTTTAAGACAGTGTCTTGCTATGTAGCCTAGGCTGCTCTCACACTCTCTTTCTGCCTCATCCTCCCATGTTCTGGGATTGCAGGCATGTACCACCACACCCAGGTGCCTTTTGAAGCCAATTTCTCAGCAAGGCCTAGCTTCCTAGGTTCTCATCTTTACAGCTTGTCTCTCCTGGAGGTGGGTGGGGGACAGCTGCCTTCAGCCTCAGAAAGCAGGGAGAGGGTGAGGAGAAAACTCAGGGCTTCTACATGAAGTAGCTCCAAACTCAAAGGCTCTACCAAGTGAGAGCCACCTTGTATCTGGGCCACCTGGTGACTGGGTGGAGAATGTGTGGGTCTTTCTATAACTCATCTCCTCTCTTTGTTCCCTGTTCTCAGAGAACGAGAAGGAGAAGAGTCCAGTGCTAAGTGGAGATAGATATATGTAGAGAGAGAACATGTAAGTGGGAGACCTGCCTCCTATGTGTCTCCATTTCACCATAATCATACGGCACCCTTTTGTCTCAAATGCTGACCTGGCTTTTTTTCTTCCAGAAAATGGAGGAGAGAAATCTTGCCATGAGCCAGATTTGAGACTATTCTCCCCCTCCGTGTTCCCTGTCTTGCCTTTACCCTGGGCAGGATCAGATGTTATAGGAGTACATGTCATGCTAGCATGTGATGTGCCGTGTTAGCTGACTCTTCATATTCTATAACCTGTGTGACTTATAGAATGTTACATGACACTTATGACTCATCAAAGGTATTATGATACTATATGACTATTGTATTATAATACTGTGATTATTATTGGTGACAGAAAGATGACAATGTAATGTCACTAGTAATAATAGCTTCCCTACCCTTTGCATTATGACCTATTAGAGTGATCAGACACATGCATTTGCTTCTATCTCTCAGATTGTTCTATTTAAAGAAAAAAGAGGGAGTTGGAATAGTTGAAATCCATAAATAATCTCAAACCACTCTTCTCTGGTGCTCCTGGGAAAGACCTGGGACTTCCCAGCGGCCATCAGTTTGGGCAATAGATGCTTTAACCTCTAGGTCTGAAGGCACTCTGAGGTCAGGTCCTGCCACCTCATTCAGAGATGGGGTGTGGAGGTGTAGGGGTTGGCTGTGCACCCAGTTCCCTTGCCTTTGGTCTACTGCTGGCTGAACATTTGCCAGGCAGTCTCTATGCAGCAGTGAGGCCTTGATGGAAGAAGGGAGGAGGGGAGAACATGCATCCTGGCAAGAGCTGACAGGGCTGTGCCAGGTCCAGGAGGGCCAAGTAGGGGAAGGCTTCCTGGTGACTTCTCTATTTGCCCAACTCCCTGCCCTTAGGCTACCAAAGTACACTGCCTGGGTGGGCCTAAGACACAGGAAACAGCTCGTGTCTGCAAATGGAGCTAGAGAGAGATTCAGCAAGAAAGTTACTGAAGGAGGGGGAAGCCTCCAGAGCCTGTGGTGGGGGCTGAGTGACGCCCTTGCCTGGTAGTCCCCTCTAGGCCTGGCCTCCCTCTCTGGTCCTCTCAAGTGTCATTCAAGAGAAGTCCCAGTCTCTCTCCCCATGGAGATGGGGTCACTCCAGATAAGACCCTGAGGCACTGCAACCAGCTGGGTTGGTGAGATGGTCTTTTTGCACTGCTTTCCTGGAGAAGACAGCTGCCTCTAAGCATCCTTGTCCTTGTTCTCCCTTCCTTGGGAGGGGGTATGATGTGAGAAGTTGGAGGTAGCCATCTGAGGGTTGGGTTCTGAGAACTTTGAAACTCTATCAGCTTAGCACCCTATAGTGAGACCCAGAGAAGGGAAGGATCTGCCCAGGGCCACACATTAACAAAGCGGAAATGAGACTCTGTCCCTTGTCACTCCCCACACAGTGTTCCCTTGGCATCACTCATTCATCTCTGTGCTCTGTGTGTCTGGGGCAACATCAGGGTGGTGAGGCAGGGTGCTCCTTGGGCTTGGGTCTGTGACATGAGAAGCTCAGGCCCCTGAGGCCACAGAGGAGCTGAGTGGGGAGGGAGTTGGCCTGACCTTACCGTTTTATATTTCAGGACTGGGGCAGGACAACACAAGGACCCTTAGTACCCCCAGGATGGCACTGTGTCTCCAGCCCTAGAAGCCTCTCCAGGACTGAAGTGGGGGAGCCACAGGGCACAGCTGAGAAGGTGTGGCATCTCCTCTCCAAGGGGAAGGAGCTCTTCAGGAAACTGGGCTCTGGGAAGAAGGAGTGAAGCTTTGGTCTGTCCTGCAGACAGAAATAGCCCCTGGAGGCTCCTGGCAGGGTGGAGAAGCCCAACAGACCTGGAGTTACTGTTCTTTGAGTGAATACTATGGCACTTGGATGAGAATCAAAGGGACTTGGTGAAGGTGGAGCTAGATGGGTCCTTAAAGATGAATCCTCTAGAGGGGCCCAA